GAGTAATTTGGAGAAACATTAATTTTTGGCCAAAATTTAATAATTTTGCAAGGCTAACCCCTTGTAATTTTTTCAAATTTTTGCATTTTGATATTCCATTAAAATCGACATCTGTATACTTTGAAAAGAACGAAAATGTTATTCTTTTCATTCAAACCTTCTTTCTGAGTAATTTTGAGAACCATTAAATTTTGGCCAAAATTTAATTATTTTGCAAGGCTAACCCCTTGTAATTTTTCCAAATTTTTGCATTTTGAATTTCTATTAAAATCGAAATCTATATACTTTAAAAAGAACGAAAATACATTTGTTTTGATTTAAAACTTCTTTTTGAGTAATTTGGAGAAACATTAATTTTTGGCCAAAATTTAATAATTTTGCAAGGCTAACCCCTTGTAATTTTTTTCAAATTTTTGCACTTTGAATTTCCATTAAAATCGACATCTATATACTTTAAAAAGAACGAAAATGTTATTCTTTTCATTCAAAACTTCTTTTTGAGTAATTTGGAGAACCATTAAATTTTGGCCAAAATTTAATTATTTTTCAAGGCTAACCCCTTGTAATTTTTTTCAAATTTTTGCACTTTGAATTTCCATTAAAATCGACATCTATATACTTTAAAAAGAACGAAAATGTTATTCTTTTCATTCAAAACTTCTTTTTGAGTAATTTGGAGAAACATTAATTTTTGGCCAAAATTTAATAATTTTGCAAGGCTAACCCCTTGTAATTTTTTTCAAATTTTCGCACTTTGAATTTCTATTAAAATCGAGATCTATATACTTTATAAAGGACGAAAACACATTTGTTTTGATTTAAAAGATCTTTTTGAGTAATTTGGAGAAACATTATTTTTGGCCAAAATTTAATAATTTTGCAAGGCTAACCCCTTGTAATTTTTTCAAATTTTTGCATTTTCAATTTCTATTAAAATCGAGATCTATAAACTTTATAAAGGACGAAAACACTTTTTTTTATTTAAAAGATCTTTTTGAGTAATTTGGAGAAGCATTAATTTTTGGCAAAAATTTAATAATTTTGCGAGGCTAACCCCTTGTAATTTTTTCAAATTTTTGCATTTTGAATTTCTATTAAAATCGACATCTATATACTTTAAAACAAACGAAAATACATTTGTTTTGATTTAAAACTTCTTTTTGGAGAAACATTAATTTTTGGCCAAAATTTAATAATTTTGCAAGGCTAACCCCTTAATTTCCATTAAAATCGACATCTGTATACTTTGAAAAGAACGAAAATACATTTGTCTTGATTGAAAACTTCTTTTTGAGTAATTTCGAGAAACATTAAATTTTGGCCAAAATTTAATTATTTTGCAAGGCTAACCCCTTGTAATTTTTTCAATTTTTTGCATTTTGAATTTCTATTAAAATCGACATCTATATACTTTAAAAAGAACGAAAATTCATTTGTTTTGATTTAAAACTTCTTTTTGAGTAATTTGGAGAAACATCAATTTTTGACCAAAATTTAATTATTTTGGAAGGCTGACCCCTTGTAATATTTTTCAAATTTTTGCATTTTGAATTTTCATTAAAATCGACATCTATATACTTTGAAAAGAACGAAAATGTTATTCTTTTCATTCAAACCTTCTTTCTGAGTAATTTTGAGAAACATTAAATTTTGACAGAAATTTTATTATTTTGCAAGGCTAACCCCTTGTAATTTTTTTCAAATTTTTGCATTTTGAATTTTCATTGAAATCGAGATCTACATATTTCAAACAAAGTTGCAGTTTATATTACATCCTAGCTGTAAAAAATAATTTTTGAAAAATTCCCCTCCCTCGAAAAAGTCGACAGGGGTTAGCGTTCCAATTGTTTTTAATTTATAGCTGTGAAAAATCATGAAAAATTGCCCCCTCCCTTCAAAAAAGTTGCAAAGGATTAACCCTGCAATTTTTATTCAATTTGGAATTATAAAACCTTTTTCAAAATTTTCTGCAACCTGAAAAAAGTGGCAAGGCTTCCCTTTGCAGTACTGTAATACTGTTGAAACCTATGGATGTGACTGCTGAAATTTCAGGGGGGTGTAACATGACATGAATTCCCTGTATTGGTTTCGTATTCCTTCCATATTTGCGTCAGAGTGATGAATATTTATTATACATTCCATCAGGATAACTTGAATATTACAATTCCTCATTTTATACAATAACTACTGGTGAGTGTAATATTAGGTATAATATAAATCGACATGTATTTACAAACAGGAATGGTAAACTGCCCTTTTCAACAGCTCTTAAGCTTAAAAGAAGTTCCCCTCATTTCCTGGATATGCCCTCTCAGATATCGGATCCTGGACGTTCAAGAGCACATCTCCGGCCAGAAGCTCCAGTGCATCTGGCAATTTAATACCGTAGGCTGTCAACTCCCAGAAGAAACTCCTAAAATGATGACCCCCTGTTACTTGTGTATCAGAATAAAAGTTATATCCAATAAGTCTTTCATTCAATAAAACATCAGGACTTGTGGATAATATCTCGAAGTTACTCACGGGGGAAAAATCAGGCATACGTTTCTACTGCATATTACAAAAACATGTGCACCAATTAATGGAGTCATAATTGTTTCTATGGAAAATGGAAGACACTTCATTTAAATAAATACGTCAAGATCCAATGTCAACTAACATACAATTTGCCCATGGATGGATGCCACAGAGAATATGAAACAAAGATGCTGATTGGTGTAGAGCTGGACGGTGTAATTCTACAGTGTATTTCAGTCCAATCCTTGCGACATATACGTCTTTGTTTTGGGGGCTGTATCCAAATCTGTTGTTTAGAGCTAGGTTTAGGTCATCATTCCATTGGACACATGAGGCAATATGCTGACAATAGACACAGCAGTTACTCTGGAATTCCATGCAGGACACGGCATGGACATGACATTTCATGAAGTGAACTGATGGGGGGGGGCGGTTCTCCATTCCCTCTCATACACTCTCGCTGCATATCCCAATGCCCACTTCATAAGCCACATTACATCAATAGGTCACTGTATAAATTTGGATCCACAGTGACATTTTCATGACCCTACTATCCTGTGTAGATTAAATTGACATTACTGCATTACTCTCGGAAATTAAAGAATGCATTCTTAACTCACAAAATCACTTGTCAGATGTGACAGGGACATGAAAAAATCGGACTGAACATTTATAGAATGCCCCTAACTGGACATGCTATGATAATTACACTCTGGAGATACAAGAAACTCACACACTTTCATTGAAGTTCATGTTCAGCGGTATGATTCTGATGCAACTTTGTTGATGAGGCACCAATCATCTACAAGAGTCATCACTTAAGAGGCATCAATCATCTACAAGAGTCATCACTTATGAGGCATCAATCATCAACAAGAGTCATCACTTGTTAGAGTGAGCCAGTCAGAATCTGTCCTATCCTGTCTGTCAAACATATGAGGTAGTCTGCTCAAAACGCCCTCTGAATTTCAGAATATTTGATAACTTACTACAACTGTGATATGAGTGTTGTGCATTTCACTTGTGAGTTTTTTGCGAGAATTACAATTATACTCTCAACCTTAAATATGGAAGCATGTCAACTGATGAAGGATTACCCTTCTGTCTTTACTCTGCAACCAATAAGTCATTTCTCGCATTTCCATTATTACGTCATCACAGCACACTCTACAACAAATATTCAATTTCCTCCGCCAACTATTGCTCCTGGATCCACTTTGTATCAACCTAAAATTTCTCATCAACTGTTCAGTCCTGGATTTTTTCATAAATACATTACATTCCTAATCCTATACATTAAAAAGAGCACCAAAATTTTATTACATTCCTCAATTACAACCCAATTTTGAGTAACAAGTCTTAAAAGGACCCTTTGGAGAATATTAAAGTAAAGCAAAACACACAACAACGTTGCTTTTGGAAGACTGCGTGTTCTATTTACATCTAGGTTTCTGACAGGCAATGCCAAGATATCAAGTATATGACACTCTCCCTTGGCCTGGCATCCAAACATACCGAGCGCACTTTGCCGAGGTCAGAGTTGAAAGGAAAATGCAACCAACCTCAGAAGACATTGTTCACAACCGGTTAAACAACATCTCCATTCCATGTGGAAAACTTGGTCTTGCTCTGTCATTCCACAGGGCTTCATAATTCCGGTCCTCTTTTCCCAGACTGTCATAAAAATTCCACGGACCAATTAGTACCCCACCAGCTAACTTACCTGGTGTCCAAGAATAAACATTAAGCCATTCAAGCAATTGGTCTGGTTTAAACCTACACCAAGATTTCTCTTAACTAGGATTTCTCGACACAATAGTCAGAGTAACTTCACATGAAACCAGTGTAGCCCCATTCCACTGGTTTTTAACATTTAAATGGCAGCTAAATGTTCATTATCTCATATAAAAATATATATCTTGGCTATATACTTAGTCGCATCCATACCTGTCAAGTGTGGCCACCCAAGTCCCAAACAGTGGCCAATTGCCAAAGGTCTGATCATTCAAACCTGCAAATCAGCGGCAGCTTGGAATTCCATGCCTTGAGATATTGAAGTGAGTTTGCTATTCAAATCTCTTGGCCACTTTGCACCCATCAGGTGTCTTGCTGATCGTTTCTGATTGGACAAGCCAGTCAAAACTTGTTTGGAATTCTTGCATTAAACTTTGGGCGTGGTTAGAAGTAATCGAGCCACGCCTACCTTGTGCACCAAGGAAGAGAGTGAGGCACGCATGACTCACTTGGAATTCTTGGGTATGAGTTTGGGCGTGTTCACGTATACATTGTCTGGCCAAGCCCGTCTGGTGCCCACCACTCTATCGTACTGGTTCTCCGTGCTTGGCGGGGCGGTGGGTGGAGACTGGGCATCGCCATCGATGTCTACGTAGTCCTCGTTTTGCTTCAGTTGTAACTGCTCCTGCTCCATGGACAGTTTCCGGTGTAGGAGGGCGTGGGCAGCCACGCCCCCGGCCAGCTTGAAGGTAGGCTTAGGCATGATGACCGGTGCTCCCTTCCGCGGAGTCTGGTAACCGCATGGCCCTACCCGCCGCAGGGTAGGAATGTGAGCCGGTTCCATGTAACGTTCAGTCTCTGCAGGGTGGGTAGGGGCCTTCCGCTTGCAGGAATGATAGAGGGGAAGTGTTGCTGAGGCCGAGGGCAGGGTTACTCTCTCTGAAGAAGCTATCAACCTCTGAAGTAAGCAGAGAAAAGTTGAATGAGTCAGTCAACACTCAACATTCTGGTTGTAATTTTTAAAGAATTAGGTTTAACTGATGTCTGACAATCTGCCCCACAACACCACCACTAATGAGCAGGGATGGATGGATGGCCGAGTTGGGGAAGCATTGATATTTTGATGGTCAGTCCAACTTCATTCAATTTTCAGTTCCCTCCACAAAATTGATGGTGATTTTCTCTGACATAGATAACTTTAGTTCGAAAGGTTGAATTTTTTCAAGTGATTTTCTTATCTTCACCAAATCCCAAATTGAAAAAACATGTGAGGGGATAAGTTCTGGCTAGGAATCATGGCCGGTTCTGCTCTTCCCAGAAGGTTCCGTATTCATTTTCCACAGCACTTTCAAAACAACCGTAACAGAGGATGCCGACTCTCCCACTGGGAAAACATCACATGCCAACGTGTCACTGGGACAGGGTTGCCTGTATTCAACTCAACTTGCTGCCCCAGGTTTCCAAAATTAGACGCTCCTATCATAAACCAGTGACCCCACTTCCTGACTGTGCAACTTGATTTCTCTAGGAAGGCATATTTGAGATTCTGAGTGGCATATCATTTGCACTGAAAATTCAAATAAATGACAACAGAACAGAACAAACTGAACGGCAAGGCACCAAGATTACTTGGAGCACTAACTCTTGGAGATATTTGAACCACTCGAGTCTTCGATACATCAAGCCATACAGAAACATCAAATGAATAATTTCTTGCCCTGCACTACTTAAGTTGCATATGAAATGCACTTCTTCTTGCAACAGACATTGTTAGGTTACAAAATGGACCATCTATTCTTTAAACCCTCACAATTCTTCACACTTTCCATATCCATAGTCTTAAATTCAAGGACCACAAGCCGATTTTTCAATCTCTGCTGGCTTTGTGGTTTTTTTCTTCCTCCAATGCTTGTCTCGCCTGGTCCTCTTGTTTAAGAATTGAAGTGAGTCAGTCTGAGGTCAGAGGAAGCCCACAATCCCTGGTCTGAAAGTCCCAGAGGAATAAACCAACCCCCCCATCAACTTGTCCTTCTAAAGTGGTAAATTGGTCCCAAGCTTAAAGATTCATCACACCACCAGTGCAGCAGTTTCTACTGTGGATGTCCACAACTGTACACCATTTTTTCTCCATTGTTCCCGGGCAACACACAAAACAGTCTTACAATGGAGATGTAGGTTTGACTTATGGGCATAGATTTCCTAGCCGCTGCTTTATTCCACGCAATAAGTTGGCCTATAAGTGCAACCTCCACATGACGTTTTCCAATCCGTTCAAGTTTGGTTTCCTTCTCATTCAAAGTAATCTTCCCAACTGGATTCCCCTTCTAGTTTCAATTTTCTCTTTCCACATCCAATTCAATTCCCTACCTAACTTCTCATAACCTTTGACTTTAACCCCCAATTTGCTCCTTAATAATCATATAACAATAGATACAATAATAATCACATCCCCATATTAAGTTTCCTCCCTATTTACAGTTCTCCCTCTTAGAACTACCATTTCTTGTCATTTAAAGTTTCCAAATCTCAAATTCACTTTTCAGTAGGTTTTGCTTTTCATTTTGAAATTCCCCCTTTTGCTTTATCAATATAGGCTCCCTTTTAACACCATCTGCCAACTTTGTTCCAATATGAAATTACTGCGCCACTAAATGGTAACCAAAACGTCAGGAATACTTGGTAGCAAGTTACAGAAAAAAAACAAAAACAACAGAGCTCCAGCCCTTACAAGAATCACTCAGCATTCTGATTTTGTCGTACCTGGGGCTACAGCACACAGTTTGTTTTACGTGATCTGTTATCTTAACCCCTCTATCCACATAGCTCAACTTCCTAGACGGGGGGAGGAGTTAATTACTTGACATTGGTCACTTCCTGTCGGACCGGACCTGACCTGTGCCAGTGGCTCCCTCAGCTACTTGTCAAATGTAATTACGTCCCTTCTTGGGGACTCCTTTTTTTAATCAGGTTTGAGATCACCGCTTTGTGGCAAAATTATATCCCTTCCGACTTGCAATTTTTACGTGTGCGTCAGTGCAAACTTACATGTATTAATCCGAATATCTTGAAATTCTCAAATTTGGAATTTTTGACCTTACTGCTCGAGCTAAGCACTCGGTAGAATTTCATGAAATGAGTACAAAACTCTCAGATGGATTTCAAATTCAAGACAGTTTGTGGATCTTCAAGGTAATGATATCACCAACGTTGTACTTTAAGCAAAAGCCTGGTACAAATACCAACAAATTTCTGCTGAAGGACAACATCTGCTGTTTCTGTGTGTAGAAGTCTCCTGCTTCCCTGAACAGACAGAGTGTTTCCTGAAGTCATATAAATGCATCTTTCAAAGAAAGTCTCAACCAGATGTAAATGATCATCAATTACTCTGTCTGAGCTGGGAGAAGTGGTGGGGCCAAGGGCAAGGTGTTGGGACTTAAAATTCTTCTTTTAATAAGCACCTGCGGCCAAAGAGGGATTGCTCCAAGAACCACCTGTCTCTGGCCTGACTTGGCCGACCTTTGACACCCTCTCCTGCTCTTGGGCAAGGCCAGGTGGTGGACAGACTTGGCAAGCATCTGGTGTCTCAGACATTCAATGTTGTTCTTCAGATCTGCCTAATTGCTCATTTCCAGAGGCAAGATTTCCGTGCAACCATCAACTGATAACAACGGAGGTTCAAATCTCCTTGACAACTGTCACATTTACCAAAGAAAAAAAGATTTGCTGAGCGTAATGCTTTGATTATATTTAAGGGCCTCTGAAATGCACTACGTTTAAGAGTGGACACAAACTGGTTAATATGGATAATACACTGAGGCAGTCATGGAAAAATATTTCTTCAGTTGTTCAAAGACTTTAAATTAGAGAGAATAATCAATTTCTTAGCCTTTTTACTTGTGTCAATCAATTCAGCAGGGAAGTAAAACTCCATGCTGGCCAGTGAAAAGCAGGGTAAATTTGCTTGGTGGACTCGTAATAAGTCTAAGTCTTAGATCTTTCAATACGCAATGTCTATCTTGAGGATTCCTGAACTCACCGTGGTGGCAACTGGTGAGGGTGGGGATGTCTGACCCTCAGTGGCAGCACTGTTGTTCTTGGGTCTGTCAGATTCCCGTCTGCAGTTGAGCCCATCCAGGGACTGCATACTGATCTCTGTGTGCAAGGCAGCTTTCGGAATCTTGGACCTGAAACAACAATGCACACAGTTAAGTTGAAAGAGAGGCTAGGGTAGCATACCTAGTCAAGTGAAAGAGAGGTTAGACTAGCATACCTAGTCAAGTGAAAGAGAGGCTAGACTAGCATGCCTTAGTTACTTGAATGGGGTGTAGCATAACAGCGCAACAATGCATATGAATGAAAATTTCCTTTTGACTTTTGTACTTATTTAAAGTGTAGTCATGCCTTTCAAAAGGTACATGATTTTTTCACGAGCATTCACAGTTTCTGAACAGTAAGCTAAATAGTGGCCTCTAGACACTCGACCAACATCACTTCAAAAAGTCAACGGAAACGGGTTAGGAACTGACAAACGAGGATGACTTCAATCATGAACGTTAGTACAATTAAACCTTGTTAATCAGAGCACTGTTTATACAACATTCTGCTTATAATACAGAATTTCTTGGAAATTTTAAAGTCCTAATTCTTTGTTCATCATTGTTCTCATTCCTGAAAATACAAGGTTTCTATTATAAACAAGGTAATCTGTAAAGTTCAAAGGACCTCCTATTAATGAAATTCAACTGCCCGATAACATTTAAACTCCTTGCTTGTGAGACCAAGTCATGAGATCTTGGAGCAAGGACCAATTTACCTCTTTCTGTGGATGAGGCAAGCAATGCCGACGATGACGAGGAAGACTGGAACGAGTATTCCCACGGAGATGGCCGCTACCATGGCACCACTCATCCCGCTGGCTGGAATGATGGGCTTGACGTAGAGACAGCGTTCTCCGGCATAGCCAGTCTGACAACTACGGAAGGCAAAAATCAAGCCATTTCAGATGATTGGTGATAGTTAAGAGGGACCTATATTTTGCTGTCTAATAATGGCGCTCGCGGTTGAGTTTCAAGATAACAGCTTACTCAGCCAAAGTACGTCATGTTTGCTGATGACACCATAAGAATAAACGCCAGTTTGAGTCAATTTAGAGGGAGATTAATGCAGATTTAAGACTTCATTGTAAGCATTTACACCGTGAATGCCCAAAAGCCAAGCACAACTCAACTTCAGCAAACCCTGCGGTGAATCCTTCACTACTTCAAACTAATGCTACCGTTCCCTTCTTGCAGCAAGTATGAATCAGCGTTTAAGATTTCAGGAACTTACAGGCAAGAGGGTTTCTTGATGTTGATTAACCAGCGACAAATTCCGCCGTTGACACAGTAGTAGCGATACTCTGGCCCGCACACCCCGAAGTGGGATGTATCCGGGGTTGTGGCCCGACCACCCACCACGTCGTCCGGGTACAAGGTGACTGTCGCTGGGTTACCATCAGCTGTGTCATCCCTGCCACCCATACTTTTGGTCAGACTGTTGGACGAGGCCGGAATATGGTGGCCCGGTGGTAGGGTGGAACGGGAGGCGGTGGTGGAACGAGGCGTGGCCAGGGCGGGGTGCCGGCGTCTGGTTGCGCTGGCCATGGTGTAATGGCTTACAGGTGCTACGGTGGTCGTCGGGCGCTTGGTGGTGGTCCGTAAGGGGTAGGTGATCTGGGGTGGAGCTATTAACTCTGATCTGGGCGTCGTTGGGGCTGATAAACAAAAACGGCATCAATGCAGCAGTGACTCTACAGCATGTTACACTCAAGAACAAGTACACGTATGATACTCGGGGGTGTCAGAAAAAAGTATTAGTATTTCAGGGTGTTGAAAAAAGTATACAATTGTGGGCAGAGCTCTTGCCAGTGGATGCTTCTGGTATAAATTCAAATATGATTTATTCTCTGCTTCCCTCCAACAAACATAGAAAACATTACAAATTTCTGAGCCAAATGAACAGAGAGAGCTATTTCCAGCAACAAAGTAAGAAAATAAAAAAAATCTGAAAAAAAAGTAGAATATCTGAAAATCTGAACAACAGGTTCTAATGAGCTGGAAACGATCGAACGAACCCTTCATGCTGATCTTGCGGTTTTTGATCACTTGCACTTGCCAGTGGAGTTGCCCTCGTTGATAATTGATTCATAACAGAGCACAGAAATACGAGAGTGATTGACGCTGTGGGCTGGTCATTCAAGAGATTAACCTCGCCTTTCTTGGTCATACATGTCAAAAGTGATTTCCCGGTCACTGACCAAATAGTTATGACAAACTCGGACATGCCTGTTTGCGAACGTCACACAAACTTGAGAGTTGATTTCCACTGAGGGAAACTGCAATACGTGTTTGCCTGCAGACAAGTTCAATGCCAAATTTTTGGCCTTGGGCCACTAACTAAGCCTTTTGATCGACAAGACATTGCAGGTAAAAAACGAATGAAAATATTCCCATTTATTACAGAAAACAGGCTGTATTGCTGTATTGTATTGAAAGTCAGAAGCATCCCTCATCCTATCAATTCTCTCAACAGAACTATACCTTCCAAGCAGAAATTGTGTCTGGATTACTCAACACAAACTGACTGACAGTAAAAGATTCAAACTGGGAACTGGGGACTGAAAGTATCTATCTCTGGAAGCAACTTAATGTTCCCAGAGCCTCCCTGGAGACATCAAGGCCTGTTAAATCATGACAGGAAATCAGCATGATCTGGCATTTTCTTCTTGGGGGCTGGGAGGGGACCATGGAAGTTATTCCTTTGCTGATTTCTCACCCATCGCACACCTTTAATCACAAGTCTCAAAGGGCAGGTGTCAG